GGTTGAGAAGTGGATGGGAAATGAAAAGGTAGAGACAGCAAGTGTAGACACTGCTTCTAAAGGCTCGATGTTGGCAAATGAGGAAGGAGCAGCTGTATTTCCAATGCAAGGCCCAGAAAAGAGGTTATGTTTAGAGTGGAAACCCACGCTGAGATGTTTATGCGAGGAGCTAGTGAGAGGGGGATGAGGATAGAGGATGGGAGGCTAGTGAATGGGAGGCTATGGGTGTGGGGGCAGTGGGGGTGGAGGGGGCTAGGACTGACACAGGTGGGACCCAGGAGAGAGTCAGGAGGACAGTTTCTAGGTGGTGAAGGGAGTTCCTGCCTGCAGCTTGTAAATGGCTTAAAAAAAAAAAAAAGTGGGCATGGTGGCTCACGCCTGTAATCCCAGCACTGTAGGGGGCCAAGGTACGTGGATCACTTGAGTCCAGGGGTTCAAGACCAGCCTGGGAAACAAGGTCAAATTCTTGTCTCAATTAAAAATACCAAAAAAAAAAAAAAGGCCTGGTGTGATGGCACACACCTGTAGTCCTAGCTTCTCAGGAGGCTGAGGCGGAAGAATCAAATCGCTTGAGCCTGGGAGGAGGAGGCTGCAGTGAGCCCAGATCATGCCACTGCGCTCCAGCCTGAGCAACAGAGCAAGACTCTGCCTCAACAACAAAAAACAAAATTCTTATTTTATTGAGGTGAAAATCACATAACAAAATCAACCATCTCACAGTAAACATTGTAATGGGATCTAGTACACTTACAATGTCATGTGGCCACCACTTCTATTCAGTTCTGAAAGATTTGAAAGAAACCCTGTACCATTAGCAGTTTCTCCCCATTCCGCCTTCCCCAGTCCCAATCTGCTTTCTACTCCTATTAATTTGCCTGTTCCGGGCATTTCCTGTGAGTGGAATCACATACAGTGTGGCCTTTTGTGTCTGGCTTCTTGTGCTTAGCGTGATGTCTTCCAAGTTCATCTGTGTTGTAGCAAGTGTGTTTCCTAGGGCTGTGGTCACCGAGTACCAAAAATGTGGTGGCTTAAATGTAAATGTATTGTCTCACAGTTCTAGAAGCTAGAAGTCAAAACTCAAGGAGTCAGGAAGGCTGTGCTCTCTCTGGAGGCGCCAGAGGAGAATCCGTTCCATGCTTGTCTTTGAGCTTCCGGCATGGCCAGCAATCCTCAGCGTTCGTTGACCGCTGGACACATCACTTCAGCCTCTGCCTCCATCATCACAGGGCTGTCTCCTGCGTCTCCACATGGACTTCCCTGTGTGCATGTTTATCTCTGTGCAAATTTCTCCTTTTTGCAAGAACATCGCTCCTATTCGACCTCATCTGACCTTGATCACTTCTGTAAAGACCCCATCTAGATAAAGTCACATTATGGTGTACCAGGTGTTAGGCTTTCAAAGAACAGTTTTGCAGAGGCCACAGTTTAATAACATCCGCGTGCATCAGTATTGCATTCCTGTTCAAGGCTGAGTTGATGCTCTGCTGTCTGGATGGATCACATTTTGCTTCTCCATAATCCGTGGATGGGCATTGGGCAGTGTCTGACTTTTGGGTGTGATGAACTGTGCTGCTGTGAGCAGAGCCCCTGTTTCCAGTACCGTTGGTTACAGAGCTGGGAGTGTGTAGGTGGCTTTTACTCACAGAGGGAAGTCGGAGGCTGCATCCTCTCCCCTTTGGGCTCTGGACTCTGCCCCCCGCAGTCACAAAACACAGGGGAGTCAGGGAAGTCTCGGCAGCCAACCCTCCCTGCCCTCCAGTGTTACTGCAGCATGGCACCCTGTCACCCCATGACCTCCTCAGCCCATCTGGCTCATTCTCCAGGAACATGTGGGTGGACAGCCCTGGGCCTTCAGGTGTCCAGAGCACCTGAGAAAGGTTGGGGGCGCCTGCTACTCCCGTCCTCAAAGGCAGGGGAATGGGTGCCTTTGATCCTTTTCTTCTGGATTTCCCCTTCCTTCCTTCCTTCTCTTTCTTTCAACAGCATCTTACTCTGTTGCCCAGGTTGGAGTGCAGTGGCGTGATCTTGGCTTATTGCAACCTCCGCCTTCCAGGTTCAAGCATTTCTCCCTGACTCAACCTCCTGAGTAGCTGAGATTACAGACACCTGCCACCAAGCCTGGCTAATTTTTGTATTTTTACAAAATACCATGTTGCCATTTTGGCCAGGCTGGTCTTGAACTTCTGACCTTAGGTGATCCGCCTGCCTCCGCCTCCCAAAGTGCTGGGATCACAGGTATGAGCCACCGTGTCTGGCCCTTTTCTTCTGGATTTTTATTGTGGTAAAATATACATAACATAAAATTCACCATTTTAACCATTTTTAAGGGTATTGTTCACTGGCATTAAGTGTATTTCCATTGTTATGCAACCATCACCAATATTTGCCTCCAAAACTCTTTCATCTTTCCCAAAGAGACTCTGTAGTCATTAAACACTAACTCCCCAGCACCTGGTAACCTCTGCGCTCCTTTCTGTCTCTGTGAGTTTGACTATTTTAGGTACCTCCTGAAACTGGAATCCTATAGGATTTATCCTTTCGGGTCTGGCTTATTTCACCAAGGCATAATGTCTTCAAGGTTCATCCATGTTGTAGCATGTGTGGGTTCTGGGTAGTCACATTGAAGGTAGTTGGACTCTTATCCTGAGAGCACTGGAATCTCTGCAAGTGTTTTCAAGCACGGGGCGTGTGTCTGTGTGTGTGTCTGTGTGTCTGTGTGTGTGTGTGTGTGTGATGGGATTTACATGTTTCAAGCCAGGCACGGTGGCTCACACCTGTAATCTCTGCACTTTCGGAGGCTGAAGCGGGCAGATCACCTGAGGTCAGAAGTTTGAGACCAGCCTGGCCAACATGGTGAAACCCTGTCTCTACTAAAAATACAAAAACAAATTAGCAGGCCGTGGCAGTGTGTGCCTGTAGTCCCAGCTACTGGGGAGGCTGAGGCAGGAGACTTGCTTGAACCTGGGAGGAGGAGGCTATGGTGAGCCGAGATCACACCACTGCACCCCAGCCCGGGTGACAGAGCAAGACTCCATCTCAAAAAAAAAAAAAAAAAAAAGGCAAAGGAAAAGTGAATTCGGTGTAGTGAGTCAGAAATGGCAAGGCTAAGGGCAGCTGAGGTCGTGCGGGGGATGGGGGGAGTGCCAAGCCCCCAGCCTGCCTCCACCTGTGGTGTGAGCAAGAATCAAGCACTTTATTTGGTACAACAGAACCAGATCTTGAGAATAGGGGGGAAAAGTCTTATTGTGGAATCCACATTTTTCTTTGAAGTAACTCTACAAAGAATGCAATGTTGACTTAAGGAAGACTCCCAATGCATGGCTAAGCCTGCTTAAAGATCTGTGTAATCGCTGCTGTGCTCCTGGGCAGTGGGCATGAGTAAGAAGCAGCCCCGGGAAAACGAGGTGGCTAGCACAGCTTTTCTAAGCAAACAGGCATGTGGGAGGAAATGATTTGGGGTTGGGGAGGATGGCTGGCAAGAAGGAAGAGAGGGCTTTGAAATCTCTGTTACAGCTAAAGGAGGAAGTTACTCAATACCTCTCCTGCTTCCTCCTTCCCAGTTTCCAGTAACCTGGTGGAAAAGGAAAAGATTGTTATCACGTCCTAGCTATCAGGACACTAGGAATGGTTTTGCAAAAATGCCTCACACTTTCCTGTTTCTGAGGTCTGCTTTGTATTAGCAAAGCCTCCCAAAACCTCCAGGTGTCTCACGTGGCTTCTTTCCAGGCCCATGGTTCTCAACACAGAGTGCTGGGACTTCCAGAACTTGGTTGTGTTTCCCCTCCACTTTTCTTGGGTTATGTAAAATGTCTCATAGAACCAGGCTGTGATACTGCCTATCATCAGCAGGAGGCACTCTCTGCAATATGGTGCATACTTGATGGAGAATCCTGGAAGTCCGAGGCTCAGAATTCTAAATCTGTATATTGTTGCCCTACTCTGTCCGCTTACAAGTTTCAATTCTGTTAATAAGTTTGCTCAGCCTGCGCAATATAGGGAGAACCCTGTCTCTACAAAATATTAAAAAGTTAGCCAGGCATCACAGCATGCACCTGTGGCCCCAGCTATTCAGGAGGCTAAAGCAAGAGGATCACCTGAGACTGGGAGATTGAGGCTGCGGAGAGCTATGATTGCACCACTGCACTCCAGCCTGAGTGACCAAAAAAAAAACAACAAAAAACTTGCTTAAAAATAGATGCATCAGTATTAGCCAACAACTAACAATGGGAACCCAGATGTTCATCAACAGGAGAACAAATACATTGTGATCTACTCATACAGTGGAATACTAAGCTGCTGTGAAAATTAGCATACTATTGCTACATGCAACATCTTGTATAAATCTCACTAACAACGTTGAGTGAAAGCAATCAGACAAGAAAGCATGTATGAGTGTACACTGCATGTCAGCATTTTCGTAAAGTTCAAACCCCGGCAAACCGCATCTATGAGGATTGAAACCGTGACAGCATTTACCCCTCAGGTAGGTAGGTAGGCCAAGGGAGCATCTGGGGACCAGTCATATCTGTTTTTAATTTGGAGGCTGGTTATAAGGGTTAGTTTGTGAGCTGTACACGTATTCACACTTTGTGTGTATGTTATGCTTTAAAAAAAGCACATCTGGCTGGGCACAGTGGCTCACACCTATAATCCCAGCACTTTGGGAGGCCGAGGCAAGCGGATCACCTGAGGTCAGGAGTTTGCGACCAACCTAGCCAACATGGTGAAACCTCATCTCTACTAAAAGTACCAAAAAAATTAGCCGGGTGTGGTGATACGTACCTGTAATCCCAGCTACTTGGGAGGCTGAGACAGGAGAATCTCTTGAAGCCAGGAAGTGGAGGTTGTGATGAACTGAGATCATGCCACTGCACTCCGGCCTGGGTGACAGAGTGAGACTCCATCTCAAAAAAATAAAATAATAAAAATAGAAAATAAATTTAAAAATGCATCAGTACGAAAGTTCAATCTGCTAAACAGCAACCCTGCTCTTTTCACAGATTGATGAACAGAGTGAGCTGAAAGCTATCGAGAAAGAGAAGAAGGTGACAGCCCTGCCCCCCAAGGAAGCCTGCAAATGCCAGAAAGAGGATTTGGCCAAAGCGTTTTGTGTAAGAATTGAATTTGCATCTGGTGCTAATTGTGATAAGGTTTTATGTTTAAAAGAAAGCAACACAAATCCCTGAACAGTGCTTTGAAATTCTGTGTTATAACCAATTTTGTCATCAAGGTTGGAAAATATTGTTGATGTTGAATGGTTCAGATTCCACAGGTAGAGTATCAGTACTTGTCAGTAGAGCTCATGTTCACTAGGCCCTTACTGGAAGACGGCATCCTTTTAGACACTGTACGCTGCTTCTCTTCAGCCTCATATTTCTTGGCAAAAACCTGAAGGGATGAAAGATGAAGCTGAGATGCAGAAAGTAGCCACAGTCCAGTGTTAGAGGTAGCACAGCCCAGCGTGGAGTCCAGCTGTTTCACATCAAAGCCCAAACTCTTCATCATCCGGTATTCCCACCTGTTGTCTTTTATAATCCGTGGAGTTGCCAGGTACTAAAACCAAATTCTCCCAAGTTTCTCAAGTGAGTTTGAATTCCTGGCCAGTGCAAGACAAGAAACATTTGCATCACACACAAATGTGTGTGTGTGCACGTGTGCGTGCATGTGCGTACTCATGACCACTACACTTGGGAGAGCAGATAAAAAGCCCCCAGTAAAAGGGCACATGCTACAATTTCAGAAAGTTGGAAGCCAATGTTTGATGTGTCTTTTCTTGAGAGTAACTCAAATCTGTTAAAATTTAAGTCCTGTGTATTAGTATTTGGAGAGGGGGAGGAAGCATTTCTTCTCTGCCTAGACATTGTCCCTACCTAGAAAATGAGCTAGATTTTCTTTCACTATTCAAAAGAATCTAGAAATCAGTTCTGTTTTCCCCGTTTTCTCTACCAGCAAGTAGTTTGCTTGTTATGTGCTTTTTAAAAACAAGGATACTTTTGTTGTGACCAGAACAACAAAGTTTCCTTCCATTATTACTCATAAATCAACTGTATTTAATGAATTTGTTTACAGAAAGAACTTGAATGGTATTGGGCACAATATAATTGTTTTAGCTACTGTTTCTTTTTTAATTTTTGTGGGTACATAGTAGGTATATATTTATGGGTTCCAGAGATACAGTGTATCTCTGTATGCCTTTGATACAGGCATCCATTGTGTAATAATCACATCAGGGTAAACAGGGTCTCCATCACCTCAAGCATTTATCCTTTGTGTTACAAGTCATCCACTTACACTGTTTTAGTTATTTTTAAATGTACGATTAAATTATTTTTGACAACAGTCACCCTGCTGTGCCAGCAAATACTAGGTCTTATTTATTCTTTCTTACTACATTTTTTGTACCCATAACCCTCTCTACTTTCTCCCAACTACCCTTACCAGGCCCTGGTAACCATCCTACTATCTCCATGAGTTCAGTTATTTTAATTTTTAGCTCCCACAAATCAGTGAGAACCTGCAAAGTCTGCCTTTCTGTGCCTAGAGGTCACTGTTATTTCACTTAATATAATGACCTCTAGGTCCATCCATATTGTTGCAAATGACAGGATCTCATTCTTTTTTATGGGTGCATAGTACTCCATTTTGTATATGTACCACATTTTCTTTATTCATTCATCTGTTGATGGGCACTTAGGCTCCTTCCAAACCTTGGCTATTGTGAATAGTACTGCGATAAACATGGGAGTATAGATAGCTCTTCAATATTCTCATTTCCTTTCTTTTGGTTATGTATCTAGGAGTGGGATTGCGGATCATATAATAGTTGTATTTTTAGTTTTTAGTTTTTGTTTTGTTTTGTTTTGTTTGAGACAGAATCTCTCTCTGTTGCCCAGGCTGGAGTGCAGTGGTGCGATCTC